TAGTGTTCTTGACTTTATTCAGGGAGACTGATCAGAGTTGGTTGCCTGATAAATAATGTATTGATTGATCAGATATGGTAAGTTGGGGGAAAATATTGAACATAATAGCATTTGTTAAAGTTGGATAGGTGTGGATTTGTTTTGATGCCAGTCTGGCATAGTTCTGGTAAAATGGCTGGCACTTTTGAATGTGAGTAGTAAATAATAGTTGAGGATAAGTCATTTATATAAGTTTGTTTTGGCCACTGTGGGTTAAGTCAGGTTGTGGGTATGAGTTGTGTATAGTTGTGATTTAATTACTGTGTGATTTAATATTGTGTCTCTTAATATGGTTCTTCAATTTTGGTTGGAAGGTGGTTAGTTAGTTTTAATATGGGTCCACAATTTGGAGGGCATAGGTAGCATGATCCTAGTTATGATCAGGTATCCCAGGTACCTGGAAGATATGGTAGAAGGTGCTTGGTCATTTCAGGGAAGAAAGATCAGAATTTATTGTGAACATCCATTTCTGTCTAGGAAGCCCCAGTCAAGACCTGATGGTTGAATCATTCATAACTTTGGATTTAAGTTGCTGCTGGTAAATGCCAGGGCCAAGATGATTCTTAATCTATGACTGGTTCTGGATAAGATGATGGACCAGACATTTATTTTTAAGATCTGGTTGAGAGGGGCGATATTTTTGCCCTCCTGTGTTTTGAGTCCTGCTGCAATCTTGAACTAAGAGTCGGGATGGTGGTATAGATCTTACTGGATGATATGTGACAAGGGACATTCTTTTTTGGGGGAGGGGGGTCAGGAACCTTGGTTTAAGCTGGGCTTTAGAGATGAGGTAGGTATTTTTCTGAACTGCTAGCATGCTGCCTGGGGAATTCTTGCAATTGTTCACACATCTTAAAGATGCTGAGACTGAGAAACACCACTTTAGGGTGTTGATTGACTTCAGGCTCCAAGCCAGAGGTCTGAGTCAGTTATATTTTGGCAGTCACGGACTTGCCTCAAGTCTTCTCAAGCTTGACAGATGCTCAGAGAAATTGCATAGAATGTGATGAGATTAGATCTGCCTCATTGTCAAATTGGATCTTTTTCTGATCCAATTAAGATTAACTGCTATGAAGACCTTTGCAGAGTGGGATCTGTTGGGGATAGGATGTGTCTTAAATACATGAATTCAGATGGTTTCTTGGAATTTCCCAATTGTGTCATAGGTGAGTTCACCAATGGCTTTGTTTTCCTGTAGCCTAGCTCTCAATGAATGTTCTCTTAGGTGATCCCCTTTGGTGTCCTGATCTTGAGGCACAGATTGGTTCTCTGAGCAGTTATGGGAGTTGAACCCCCATAAATAATATCCAAAGCACTGATGGAAAAAGATCAAAAGTAAATGTGACCAAGCACAAGTTCAAATTCAAATCATAGCCTATAGCATCATTATTTTTCTTACCTGGTTGAATTAGTAAGGTGGGTCAACAGCCTTGCTTTGGAAAAAAAAATGGACAGTATGATCACTCACATTGGATACATTTTGCTAACAAAGTCACTTGGATTTGTTAAAGGTGAGCAGAGTCTAATATGGTGTTTGGGCCATCCTAGCTCTATTATCTGGACTCATTATTGCTTGCATAATCTGAAGTCTACACTGAGTCTCTCTGATATGACTCTTGCCACTTACAAAATTGGACCATTCCCTTCCTAGCTCTTATACGGGAGATGGAAAGGTGAATTGATGGATCCAAAAGGTGGTTCATGCTTTCTGTGGTAATGAATGATTCCAGCATCCTTGAAAGAAGCTCTGGGCACCCTCTTTTTAAAGGAAGACTATTTATCCTAATCTTCACTTTAGGGGAAGTACTTAAATATGTAATGATCGATGCAGCTGCAAAGCACTCTGAAGAAAATAGATTATCTGGCCTCTTTTCAGGCCTGAGTACAGAATGGATATGACTTTAGTTGCTATAGTTGATAAACTTTGTTGGGATCTTTATGGAGATATTTAAATCTTCTGGTTGCTTATTAGGCCATTAACTATGATGTTCCTAGGAACTATCTATGGGAGTTAGGGATGAGTGGCAGTATTTTATGGTCATTCTATTCCTACCTCAGTTCCAGTCGGTAGCAGTCAGGCAATTTGACCAGGTGGTCACTTCCTTGTCAGGCATGAAGAATCAGGACCACACATCAAGTTCCAGTTAAGAGGTTTATTGATCATGCCTATCACAAGAATCTAGCCAACTAATGATCAACATTAGCGCTAGATAAGAGTCAGTGGAATGCAAGAGGATTAGACTTACACCATTGTGGGAACATAATGGACTCCAGGTTGATGACTCACTTGCCTCTGCCCCCAGGTTCTGTCTGCTCTTGTCCTACAGTAGTGTGCCACAGGGGTTATTTCTTTCTCCTTTACCATTCAGCATAGTGTTGCTTTGGGAAATCATCCAAAAGTTCAGGGTGTGATACCATCAGTATGCTGATTATACTCAGCTTGGTACTGCAATCTCTTCCTCTCACAAGGCCCACCAGGAGATTGTGCCAAAATTCTATCCCATTGACTCGAGGCTATCATGGTTTGGATGGGATGATGCCATCTAAAGTTGAATCCAAGCTAGATGAAGTTACATTTTGTTTATTGCAGTTGAACTCTTGAAGGGATGGCACTGTCCCAAGGAAGTAAGCTCACTAATTACCAGTCTTTTTTGGATTTGCGGCTATTGCAGGTAGACATTGTAGCAATGTACAACTTTAATAAATAAATGCTTCTTGTTAATTGCATTGGGTGATTGTCTAGGTAAATTGTTTACTTAAATTTTTTTCTGAGGTTAATAAAATGAAAATATTGCATTTATTCTGACTAGACATTTGGAGTGATAGGAAGCCAGTTTGGTCTAATGGTTAAGACACCAGGCTAGAACCCAGGAGACCATGAATTCTAGTCCCACCTTAGCCATGAAAGCTGCCTGGGTGACTTTGGACCAGTCACTCCCTCTCAGCCCAAGCCACCTCAGAGGGTTGTTGTTATGGGGGAAATAGGAGTATTAGGTATGTTCACTGCCTTGAGTTATTTATAAAAATAATAAATGCAAGTTAAAAAAATAAAATGTTTATTGATAGTCTATTGATATTATAAAGTGTTCCAAGTTAAAAAGGATTATTTTTGTAGTCTGCTGTATCAATTACAATGAATGTTATAAGCTTGTTTGACATGCAAATACAGTTAGTCCTCAACTTATCACCACAATTGAGCCCAAAATTTCTGTTGCTAAGTGAGACATTTTTATGTGAGTTTTGCCCCATTTTACGACCTTCCTTGCCACAGTTGTTAAGTGAATCATAGAAGTTGTAAAGTAAATCTGGCTTCTCCATTGATTTTGCTTGTCAGAAGATCGCAAAAGGTGATCACATGACCCTGGGACACTGCAACTGTCATAAATACAAGCCAGTTGCCAAGCGTCTGAATTTTGATCAGGTGGCCATGGAAATGCTGCCATGTTCATAAGTGTGAAAAAAGGTCATAAGTCACTTTTTTCAGTGATGTTGTAACTTGGAACAGTCACTAAGCAGACTGTGTAAGTTAAGGACTATCTGTATATATCTTATGGTGAAGATAAAATAATAAATGAATGCCTGATTATATAACTTGTTTTTGGTTATTTTGACTTTGATTCACATGAAAATAGATACAGAGTTGTTACTCCTCAGTGTTAAATAAGATAGAGCAATATACACGCAGTATTTCATTCCAGAGAATGAATATATCTTATTCTATGGAATGAACAAATAAGATCTCTAAACAAACTGCACACTGTATTCGATAATATTGAACTGAATAATTCAGGATTAAAGAACTTTTCTTTTTTACTCTAAGGCTTAGAAATATCAATTGTATTGGAAGAAGTTAATGATAAGCCATGGTCTCACATACTGATCCCCATCAGGTTACTGGGAGACAAACTTGACTCAGTGGAGAAAGTGTTTTGTCAAATGAAATCTAGAGTATTTGGTAGTTAATTACAAAGTCAGTGTTGAAGTTGGTACAAACCCCCTATTACTTCCTCAGTAATATCTCTTATCAAAAAGGTTTGAATTTAGAATTTAGAAGAATATTGTTAGGTAGTAGGTAAACTTCCAACACTTTTCAATCCTTGTTTCATTTGTAGTAATTCAACTGGAAAAAAACACACAGTGACATGGAATAAACAAAATCCCAGGGGGAAAAAAATCTGCCCAATTTCTTGTCTCCCCTTTTACTTAATGTAACAATCCTTTTATTAAAAATACATCCTGTTAATAGAATATCAGGCAATGATTTCTGTAGTACATGGTAAGATCAACCAACTACTGTTTCATATTGTCTTGCTGATGTAAGGTGGTTTTGTGTTGTGATATGATGCGTCATTTGGCTCTTCTCCATTGCCCTGTTGATGCCTATGAATGCAATGAACTGCAGACCAAATGGGTTTTTTTTCAATACAGAAAAGCTGGATGTGCAACTCAGAAATTATGTCTTCATTTCCTAATTCTTTTTAGAAAACAATAAGTCTTTACAATAATTTAATCTGCTTTCTAAGATCAAAAGTTCTAAAAAGCACTTCTTATCAAAGCTGAGATGAATTTTTCTCATGAATTAAATATTTACAGTTTTACAATAAATATCCTTAAGCTGAATGATTTTAGTACCATATTAGTGGGTTTGAAAAGCTAATGTGGATCTTGATTGGTACATAAAATGTCGCATATAAATTAAACATTTAATAAAAGATGGATACAGACAAAACAGCCAGTTCAGTTGTTATGTCCAGTTATACAGTTACAGCCCCAAGGACAGTCAACCATTTCATATTGTATCTTTCTTTCTGAAAGATGAGTACTTAGGTTCAAGTAACATTTCAGCCTAGGTAGTAATTGCATAATTTATAGACCTTTTGAAAAAGAGGTAAACTGTTTTTCATAAATTCTGCCTCTCTTTTCTCCTCACCCCTCACCCCAAAATCTTTTTTCTCTTACAGATTGGAGCATTAAAGGATTATTACCATTTTTACCATAGTAAAACAATTAAAAGGTCGGTTCTCTCAAGTAGAGGTACTCACAACTTCATTTCCATGGAGCCAAAGGTAAGCTAATCTAATTAGTCAATCGTGTCTGATGCAAGCCTTTGCATTTTTAATTTGCAACTTTATGCCAGGGGATGTTTACCTGGATAACATCTACAATTACAAGAATTGATTGTCATTTGCTCATTAAGATTCCATTTCATATGAGAAAAGAAGGTAGTAGTCTAATGTTTTAAGAATAGTGTGTCACCATTATTTATAGAATATAATATTAATGTTGTGGTGGTTTGCATGTCAAACCTATATAATATAGCAGCTTGTAATTATATTACTTCTAAGCAGTGACACTTTCTTAGAATGAAGAAGGTAGTTTAACTGTAATTTCTACCTCAAAAGTTCACTATTGATTTGTGTTATTGAACAAGGATATTTTTTACAAAATGTATCTTTTCACATACATTAGCTTAATTGCTATTATTATTTATTATTAAACTGCTTTTATTGAATTACTGCATACCTCATGTTAATGGTTTATAATTTTTGTTTTTCATTTATAACCTTTCCCAAAATAAAACCTTAAAAAAATACTGCCTTTTGTATATAAAGAATCATGCTTCTTTTTAATGTAGTGAAACAAATAGATGTGAATATAACAAGGATATATCATCACTGGATTTCTTCTCAGGGCAACAATTATATCGTATTATTTGATTATTTAAAATATATCAACTTAAAACATTCTTAATTTGCATCTTAATTCTATTGGTATGCCAACATGATGTATCTGCTTATTATAATCATATGCTGACGGTGGTGATTGAAGAAGATATATTGGTGCACTGCAAATATTAGCTGGCTATAAAGTTGGCTGTGTATTATTTTTGGTTCACAAACAAATGCTAAGACACTTTTATGTTATTTGATGTTATAAATGTGAGAGGAATAGCCTCACATTAAAAGTTAGATACTCTCATTTTTTGGCAATATATGAGCAGTTGGTCATTTGTTTTATGGATATTGCTTTTTGATCATTTTTTATATATTGTGATAGGAAAATTAATTAATAAGCAGTTAATTTTGGTCAAACTACATTTCATCTTAAAAGCTTCCCACAAAAATTAATTTAAAATTTAATTTAAGTAAGATATGGATAACTGACACCTTGTACATCTTTAAATTTTACTTTGGTGTTTTCATTTTGATTATAAACAAATTGCCGTAAACTAGAAATAAAGTCAGTACAGTTTCTTATGACAAATATTATTGGCAAGATAGGAATGTTGATAGGAATAAATCAGACAAATTTTAGAAAAGGTAATGATTTATCATACTAAAAATGCTGTTCTGTATTACTGAGCAAGAAACTTTACACTTATTCTGTCCATATTAGTATAACAACAAGATTGGCATGTAAAATGCAGTCGTGGAGCTGTAAACTTTCTTTTTCCTTTCCCTTTCCCCTTTCCCTTTCTCTTTCCCTTCCCTTATGCTGCTCATTCACCTGGATATAAAAGTGGACTATCATTTTTAGAATGACAAAATTCACACAGCTGCTTCTTGTTGTGGAAAAAGTAGTAATGATACCTACTTGTCCACCTTATCCTTATTATCGGACCATCTTAGAAACCTAAGCTCTAGAAAATAAGCAGATATCATGTTATCACACATTACAGTGTTGACAGCAGCAGTACAGCGTACAGCAGTACAGTGCTGGTAGCAGCAGATTAAGGTATTTGAACTTTAAGCCAAAGGAGAACTAGGGCTTCTACCAAATGTAATAATATCCTGATGGAATACAGTATAAACATTTAAGACACAGATGTTGAAGTATTTTATTTTGCTTTTTCAACTGGGACATCCTGGGTTTCGCTCAGTATACCCCACTTCAAAAAGCAAAACAAAGTTATCTCACTTTTGCTCATTATTTCAGCACCAAGATAACAAAGTATGTATATAACATCTTCACCAAGTCATCAAACTTAAAATCACTTCACCTATGTTATGTCTGTTTTTATAATAGATCCATCAACTTAGCTAAGTGTAAGCATTATTTCTTATACATTATACATATTATAGTATTCAAGTAGAACCTACTGACATCTAGAATTTACACTAAAATGGTATTTGAATAGGATTGTCTATTGGATCATATTTTGTCTATTGTCTTAGTAAAGATATGCTGCCTATACCATATATATGTTTATATATAATGAAGAGCTATGATTAATCATTATTCACACATAGCTCTAAAATTTAAATCATGATTTACAATATAGAGTGACTATTTTGACATATCAAACTGAGCTAAAACTGAATGGGCTATATTTGAGCTTTGAAACATATTTTTTCAAAGCTCTTAATTTAGAAAAAAAAGAAAATGTCTCATTGAAGAAGGAAAACAGCCAAGTATTGGCCACTCAAGATTGAAAATGTTATATATTCAAAAGTTGGAGACTGGCTTCTTAGCTAACTCTTGGATGTCTTTCTCCAGATGCAAAGATGCTTCAATCTTTGCATTGATTTGTCTAATATTGTACTTTAGGAAAATCCTGATTCCCATTATTATAATTTATTATCCACAAACCACACATAATAAGAGTTGAATTGTTTTTGTTTCCTAATGACCACAATGCTTGGTAAGGTCAGCTTTGAGCATAGAAGTAGTGGATAAAAGGTATTCAGTGAGGAAGTCCAGTTGCCTCTGCCCAAATGTATCTGAAAAAAAAAGTTGAAAGACTGTTTGTATCAGAGAAAGGGTAATTAGAGAAAAATCAAGCATCTTATACACTGCTATTCGCCTCAACATCCAAAAATTGCTTTTAATTAAAAATTAAAATAAGTATCAAAAATAATTATTTCTAAGTGATGCACATTTCCGCAGCTACTTGTTTATTGAGCATTTGGATTTAGCTTACACTTTGCCAGTAGAGAAAGTAGATGTGAACAAGCACCATAGACTGTATCAAATTTTTGGAATGTTGCATTCTGTTTTGGAGGTCACAGAAGAAGGGGAGAACGAAATTGGATCTGTTGATGGCAGACCTGGGAAGGTTCAGGGGAAGGATTTAAAAAGATGTGGTACCTGCTTTGCTCTTGTCTCTAGTTGTGTATTGTTATGTAGAATGCTATTACTACTATGAGGAATACTATGAAAACCAGTGCTACCAACAGCAATTGTGGAGCTTTGAAGTAGAGCTGTTATCACCATCCTTAGAGTATGAAGAACAGTTGTAGACTAGACCTCAGCTTCTGATCTGTGATAATCTGGCTCTGGATGTGGAAAGTACAGAGGTTGATTGAGATCAGTAGAATATGTGTTGAGTTTCGTAAATGTGAAGACAAAAATGAAGAAATGATTGTTGGTTGAGATGATGCAATGGTTCCCAAATTGGGACTGTGATGGGCAGGGGCACAAATAGTGGGAGGGCACTAAGTAAGCTGTTGTAGGAGATCCACATATTCATGTGTGTCTCTTCTTCTAAGTCAGTTTCCCCAGTCCTGGTTCAGGTAGAAACATTATCAGGTGACTTGGTCTCTAAGATGCTGGTAAACGTCAGGTCTATGGCATTTAGATTATATCCATCTACAACATGATGGTTGATGAGCATGTAGACCTGTTGGGTATTACTGACTGGGACCAATGGAGGTGTAGTTCTCCCTGAAATCCGGTTTCATGTTTTGTGTCCTGCAGCAGCAGAACATAAATTTATGTAGAAAACTTGCAATGGCAAGGAACATTGTGTAATGGTATGTGGGAAAGACCTTGGGAGGCAGATTAGACAACTGTCATACAAAAGGTATTTCAGGCCACAGAAGCAGATGGGAAGCATTTCAGATCAGATCTTCAAATTACACATTGTAAGTGCATTGCTAGTGGGACCCTGATGATGATTCACTAATCATGAATTCAGGGAGATTCAGGAGATTTCAGAGACTGCTTGGAAGATTTTTTGAGAATTTGGCAGGTTGAAGCTGCTGAGAGACATCATCTGTCAGTTCAGAATGAGGAGTCATCAGTATGATGATTACACCAATTATACATAACTAGCCAAGACAGACATGATGCCATGGAAAGCCTGAACTGATGTCTGAGAGATATCAGGTAAAACAATCCCAAATTAAATCCTACAAATACCAAACTGCTTTTTATTTTTATTTTTTCAATGAACAAACAGGGCAATCTAGTAACATCAGTTTGGGATTACTGAAGATGGGATTGTACTTCCTCTGTTGCAACTTGGTTGGACTGCTGCAACATATTCTACATGGAGCAGCCTTTGGTGAAGCTTTTGTTGGCAGAAAGTGTCTGTTGATATTTGAGGATGAAAGTCCTGATTTTTGCAAGGGAATGAAATGCAGAGGGAGTCAAGCAAAGTGTGTTGGGAAGTGAGCATTGAAAAAGATTATGAAATAGCAGCTAGCTTTCTTCCATGTATACTCAGAAGCTGTGGCTATACTGCACTGCAACGTGTGCATTGTTGTTGAAAACTGCTAAGACTAATTGCATAGCCTGACCTTGTCTAGAAAAAGTACCTATCTCTAGAAAGTCCTACAGTGTATGCTGAGAGTACATTTAAAATAACATTTATTTCCTAAAAATAATACTTTCTTTTAAAACTGCAATAATATATACAAGAATACTGGATTTGTTTTCTCATAATAAGACAGACTATTATTATCATTTTCTACCCTTCTTAACTAAACACACAATCCCTAATAGAAAGAACTGGGACCTTCAGTATACAAAGAAAGTTGCTAAACTACAATACTTACTCAAGGGATAGCCTTGCTCTATTTGCATTTTTTCTTATCATTGGTACATTAGATATAAACATCTGAAATGGACTGTCCATACTTGTACAGTTGACTGTAGGAGTATAGATGGCAAAACTACAATAACTAAAAAAGTTACAGTTATAATGCTGACAGTTGGCAAAGTCTACTTTGGTTGAATATTTTTTTGAAATAAGCAGAGGCTTTGGTTCAAAGCTTATATTCCCCAGATATTTTTATCAAGCTTTGTGTTCTGAAGGTTAATATTTTTATTAGTGTGGGTTACA